ACACAGTCAGTTTTCATTCTAATCCACGTCCCAAGCCCGTTTGTTCCTTTTGTCGCAAAGCAGGATACACTATTGATACTTGCTGGTCGAAGGATAAACCATCTTGGAAGCGGTCTGCATCGAAACATACCAAAGATTCTTCAGGTGAAGCTGAGAAGCCGGAAGCTGTGAAGCAGAATAGTGCGAAGCCGAACTCTGCGAAGCCGCCTACTACACCTGCCAAGACACAAGCGAAAGAAGTTATCAATTGTATGACGTCAGTTTCTACCGCCTACGATCCTGACGCTGAAGATCGTATTCACAATAACTTTAACGATGAACTCAATACGCCCATACCACCCGAGGTCTACGCCAACCTTGCACATACCTTGGAAGGTCCCAACACTTGGTATCTTGACAGTTGTTGCGGCCAGCATATGTGTTCATCAGAAAACCGCTTCGTAATCAACATGCGTTGTAACCGTCGCCAACAATCAATGTCTTACAGCACACTGGATGGGTAACATCATTCTTGATTCCGTTGAAGAAGACTTCAATCTTCACCTTAACGATGTACTTCTCGTTCCTCGACTTGGCTTCAATCTGATGTCATTTGCGCAGCTCATGAGGAATGGAATTACTCTTCTTGGCGAACCGGGCAAGTTTACTTTAAAATATGGCGACAGGAAACTCGGCACGGCAATCGAACAGAACGGAGTATTCGTTCTCAACTTCGTACCTGAACGTACCACTGCCGACTCCGACAATATTCTCTCTCTCGGCCCATGGGAACATCGTGATGACATCGATTACACCAATGATACCGTTCCTCGTGAAGGAGTCGTACCCACGTCTTCAACCACGGCTGCCGCTGTCATGCTGACCTTCGACAATCAAGGCTTGAACGACGTCCAGAACTTCCGAGATTATCTTGCTCACGTTGGTGGTTGGGGAGATACGACGAATATGCCCACAGATGAAGGCGCTTGGGGGGCACAGGAACCTGACGAGACCACTTGGGGAGAAACACCTGCTGATCGTGATCGACGTCTTCTCACTGAAGCAGAGCAGCGTGTCGCTGAAATGGAAGTCCTTGACTCCGGATGACTTGTCGGCATTGAGCCTAAACCGGCAGCATCAGATCAAGAGAGTGGGGAGTTAGTTCTCTCTCCTGGCGAATACGTCGATGTTGACATAAAAGTTCCACCACCTAACCTTACCAGGTTTATCTCACCTGTCACAGATCATGTTCGCGCTGACGGTCATCGGCTGCTGTAAACATTCTTCGCTAACGCCGATTATTATCTGCGCGCACAGGGACACAAAGCAACTGCAGACACCTGACATAAGCGTCTTGGTCATCCGTCGCAGTCTACGCTCAACAACACAATCAAAGCAGCTGTTCTCGACAAGAATTCTCTTCTCTTACCTGGCGGCCTCGAAATGAAACCGGTTAATCGTCCATCACCCTGCTTGATCTGCCCAGCAGCAAATCTACCGCACGAACCGTACCCGACTCATTTTCCTGGCGCTGAGGATTATCGATTGATGGAAAAAGTTTACAGTGATATTCTAAACTTACCTGCGGAGGGTTTCCATGGCGAGAAATACGTCATCACGTTCACTGAAGCTTCTACTCGATATGTCTGGACTGGTAACATGACTAACCGTTTTCTTGCCTTCACAGCGTTTCAGACATGGCTGCCTCTCGCAGAACGCGAGTCCGACACCAAACTCAAAACCTTCCAGTGTGACGGAGCTGGGGAATATCGCAGTCTCGAGTTTACAGCGTACCTGCAAGAAAGAGGCATACGGCGCCTGTTCTCACTTCCTCACGCTCACCAACAGAGCGGTGTAGCTGAACGCCTCAATCTCACTTTGCAAGAAAAGATGCGAGCACTACTCGCACAATCCCAACTCGGCCCACTCTACTGGCCCTTCGCAATGGACCACGCAACCCTGTTGCATAACCTCCTGTCTTCATCAGCTCTACCCAACAACGCATCACCTCACTTGTTGTGGACAGGAAAACTGGGCACTACGAAACTTCTTCGAGTTTTTGGGTGTATCGTGCAATATCGTCCTCCCACCGCTCCGCTCGAAAAGTCCAATCAACGCGCTAAGCGGGGCCTTCATCTCGGCCTTGAGAAGCAGTTTTCTGCCTGGCGTATCCTAGATTATCGCAATCGTCTTTTAATTCCTGCCCGCGACTGTATTTTCTGCGAAAATCTGACCCTTCCTGTCTTCGAACACTATCTCGCCACGCAGCGTGACCCTGCTACACTTTTCCACGGCGTTCGTTCATTCGCCAGCGCTGACGCCAAAATTGCTGCCAGCGAAGAACCTGACATTGACGGTGCACGTGAAGCTGCTCCTGATCCACCTATACCAACCACCTCTTCCGGATTTCCGGAATTCGTTCCTCTCGTTGACACTCATCCGGACGATGTTCGTGAAGTTCATCATACTTACCTGGTGGACGATCAACGACGTCCCATGCCAGCTGTAACTAACAGCAGCATCCGCGTCGATCCTGACGAAATTGGGGGGGCAAGTGGTGAACAGAGTGAACCTGTCAATTTCGCAGGACGGACCGAAGACAGTCCTAATTATCAAACTGGGCTTCAGATACTGGGACTCGCAGCAGCAGTACAGCATAATTCTACAGAAGTCGCAGAACCGAAAACTGCCCGACAGGCCCTTTCCAGACCACATCGCGAAAAATGGCGTGAAGCCATGGATCGTGAGCTGGCTGCCCTGGAAAAACGGGAGACTTGGGATCTCATACCCATCGAAAAAGCTACAAATAAAAATATTCTTACCGGAAAATGGGTCTTCAGGGTGAAGACGAAAGCTGACGGCTCTTATGAAAAACATAAGGCGAGGTGGGTTGTTCGTGGTTTTGACCAAACTCATGGGGTAGACTACACGCTAACCTTCGCCCCGGTCAGCCGACAAACAAGTGTTCGTCTCGTCATCTGCGAAGCAGCTGCGAAGAATTTTCCGCTTCGACAAATTGACGTTTCCAACGCATTTCTGTACGCTGACGACGATGCTGAAATCTACGTCGAATATCCACATACCTATCCGACAAATCCGCCAAGTGTCTGCAAGCTCAAGAAGTCACTGTACGGTATCAAACAAGCACCGCGACTGTGGCAGCAGCATTTGAACAGGAAACTTACAGAAGTTGGGTTCCGACAACTGCCGCATGATCCCGGAATGTATCGACTAGACGACAAGGGGAGCTATGTGCTACTCGTGGCATACGTGGATGATATTCTCTACGTAAGTTCTTCGGCTTCCTTGGGTGATCGCATCGAAGCAGATCTGAAGAAATCCCTCGACTTAACCGTCTCCACCGAAGTAACCCAATTTCTTGGGTTAAACATTTCGCGAACCTCCTCCCCCATTCACCTCACAGCATCGAAGTATGCTGAGTCACTCGCTAAGCGTTTCAAGATTTCTACAGATTACGTCGCTACACCGTATCGGTCTACACCCACCGGGCACATCCTATACAACACCAAACTTTCGGCAGCTGGTCTACAATTGTACCAGCAGCAACTCGGGTGTCTTCTCTTCGCAGCAGGCACGTGCCGTCCCGACCTTGCTTACGTCGCAAGCTATCTCGCACAATTTTTACGCTGCCCAGAAGAAGAACATCACCTCGATCTTCAGCGCGCTCTACACTACTTTGTAGCAACACCAACAGTCGGGCTGATTTTCAACACAGGAAAACCGACCGACAAAATGTACCTCAGCGGATATGTTGACGCAGACCACGCTGGTGACACGTCAGATCGTCGGTCACGAGCAGGCTACATTTTTCGTCTCGAGCCAATTGGCCCGATCTCGTGGAACTCATCGAAACAAGAACTCGTGTCACTTTCCTCGGCTGAAGCAGAATTCATAGCTGCGTGTGCTACAACCCGAGAAGGATTATACTTACAGGAACTGCTCGACGAAGCAAAATTTGTCACGTCAAATCAGTTTACGCTGCAGTGCGACAACCAGAGTGCAATTACCATCGCCAACAAGCCCGGCTTCGTCAATCGCACGAAACATATTTCACTGCGTTACTTCTTCGTCAAAGATGCGATCGACAAGGGGAGAATGCGCCTTGTCTACTGCCCCACTAGTGACATGGCTGCTGACTCACTTACCAAGAAGCTGACATGACAGAAATTCTACCACTGCAACCAGCTCAGCGGAATTTCTGAGACAACTGGGTAACTACACCGAACTCCTAGAAGTGAAGGGGAGTGTTGAGATAATATCGAGACTTAAGCACTTCAAGGAAATTCGTGTAGTACAGTAAAGTACCGATAGGCTGACGTCAGCAAAGCGCTACGCGCCCTAGGATGACGTCAGCACGTAGCTATAGGCCTCGCGAAAAGTCACGTACCGTTTCAGAACAGGAATAGCGAGAATAGCACAGTACAATAGGCGAAAAGGTACTTTACTCTAGCTATATATTCTGTATGCTTGTCATTTTATAATATATCTGATTTCAGAGACATTGATCCTGAAACATATCACTACATGGGCTTTCACTAGTCCAGACAAAGCCTTCTTAACTGGCTTTAATTCATACAAGACTTCCACTACGACAGGAAGCTACCATCCTAGGTAATACGATCCTATTCAATCATTTCAAATTCTAACAAAATCAACCTGAACAGTTAAAATAACTACTCTGAGGTAGGTAAAAAATACCAATTAAGCATGTGTTGTAATTTTCACTTGCCGATGCTGACTTGGCAAAGTGCAGCTAAGTGGTAGTTATCTAAATGTTCTTGTGAGAACGTTCTCTTGTTAGGTTCAGAGGTTGGGTAGTTCTTTACCCCTTGTATTCTATCATTCTATTCTAGTGAATTTCTTTGTGTGCCAACTCTGTGTCTTTACAACACTTCACCAATTTTTCTCCTTAGTGAACAACAAAGTTTGCATGGCTGTGGAAAGGCATTTCGTAGAGCTCAACCGTTAGCATAGAAATCTCTGCAGAGGCAAGCTTGGCGATGTTTGCGCGTCAAACGTTCTATCCACTCCCCCCCCGCGCTCCCCGCTGCTCTCGCCGCTCTTCCCGCGAGGCACGAGTGAGTTGTGCTGGAGCAATCCCGCCTACGCACGTCCGCGTGATGGGCTCATCCGCCCCACCCAGCGCTCTGCCCTGACCCCTTTGTGACGGACCAGTGCAAGTGCGGCTCGGGTGATCGTTGATTCCCCGAATCAACGAATACCATCCACCTACCACCCCCATTCCCACCCTCGCCCTCCTCTCCCTCCAGTCTCCTCCCATTTGTCTCAGCCCTCTGTTGCCGCCCATTCTACCTTCGCCCATTCCCTTCCTCGAGCGACCGGCCTGGCAAGAGGGTGTGCGTGTAAGGCAACGCGCAAGCAGCCCTTCCATTGGAGCACGCGAGGATCGCTCTCCCCGCCGTCTCCCCTTATTCCCTGGCCCAGCTTCCCTCCCATATTTCTCTTCCGCACCCTTGCTTTCGCACCCGTGCCCGCCCCTTTCTCCCCACCGTCCTGCTTATCACCCCTCCCACGGATCCTCGCATGCAGCCCGCTTCTATTCTCCGATCCGCCTTCCGCCCAAGTTTTCTTCCCCCTCCCCTTTCCCCCGTGTCTCCACTTTGCACTTGCAGTGGACTGTGTGGACCACAGTCCACTCAATTCACACCCCATCCCATCCCCAGCCGCCTCTCTTGGCCTCACCCCCTTACTTCCTCCCTTGCTCTCCTGGCCCACCCCGCATGCTCCCTCTTTTCCTCGTCCCTTTCCCATCTCCCCTCTCCCATGTCCCTCACACCGGGCCACTGTGCCTCAGATCACCCCACAGGACGTCTTGTCGAGTGCCCCTGTGCCCCTCGCCCTTTCCCCCCTCTCCGCAGATCACCCCACGGGGCGTGGTGTCCTGCACGTGCCACGGATGCCAGAAGTGGAAGGATTTCACAGCTGGCAGGCTGAGCTGGCCTGCCACGTGGTAGGCAGCCACTGAAGCAGGAGAGAATGGGCCGGGGGAGAGTGAGGAACAGAAGGAGCAGTGTGATTCTGAGAGGCAGCGTAGGGGGTGCGCGGTGGGAGTGATGACAGCGGTGGGAGTGACGCCAGCAGTGGGAGCGGGAGTGGGAGGGCAGCGCAGTGGGCCGGGCATGGCAGCAAGGGTGCACTACGAGGTGGGAGTGATGCCCGCCAGAGAAGTGATGCCCGTAATGGGAGTGGGAGTGGGAGGGCAGCGTGGTGCACCGGGCATGGCAGCAAAGGGTGCACTACGAGGTGGTCACACAAGACATGCTGCTCGCCCTCACTGCTTACATCCGGTCAGACACTCCCCAATTCTTCAATCCATCCATCCCATCCCTGCCTCTTTTGAGTCTTCATGGTTATGCGTTCTGTTTGCCTTGCTACGTAGCGCAACACTCTTGCTCATCTGCATGGCACCAGTCAACTGATTGGTTCTGCCATAAACTGGAGAACTTGAGTCCCAAATGCTCCTATCTCCCTCACTCCCTTTCCCCTGTGGCACCCGTGCCATCTCTCCCGCCTGCCAATTTCATCCTCCCATGCTTTGCCACAGCCCCTCCCATGGCGGCCATGCCCTGCCTCTTAGCACCATGCCTTGCCCCTCCCGTGGCCTGCTCCCTCCTATGTCCCCCAGGGAGCGTGCAGGGCATTACAGGCGCACGAGTGGACTCACCTCCCTCACCGTGCTGGAGGGGAGCCGCTGCTGCTGCTGGTGGTGCAGGCAGGAGCCAGACGCATTGTGGAGGATTGTATATTGCATGCTCTGCCTGCTATGCTCTGCTTGCCATGCCACGAAGCTTGCTGAGAAGTGCTTGTTGAGAAGCTTCACACCCAAGCTACTACTCCCACACTGGATTATCTTTTGCTTGCCTGCACCTCTTTGTCCCATATATGTCATGTCTTTCTGAGAGCTCCCTCCCCCGCCTCACAATCTGCTCAAATACCCACGTGATAAAAGAAGTGTTTTGAGACGTCTCAAAACACTTCTTTTATCACGTGCCAGTCAAACTATGGAACAAGAATGATTGAATTGAACAGAAGTTGGTTACAAGTACTAACCCTAGTTGGGTTGTACCCCTTATGGGCTACCCCACTAGCATACACAAAGTAAGTACTATAACAGTTTTGACGCACCCCCATAGGCAAAGTGGGGGAGAACAAGTGGTCACAAGACCGGACAAGTAAAGCAAAGCAAGCTCAGGGTGGATCACGAAGTCACCACAGATTCCGAGCACAAGCAAATGGCTACAAGGCCAGTTCACATGCAGAGATATATAAAAGAGAACAAACAATACAGTGATCATACTCTAGTAAAAGTAAGCATGCAGGAATACATATAGATCACAGTACAACACAGTCATGCAGTGAGCAAGTGAGGCAAAGTAGACACACGGCCTAAAACATTAGAGAAACACTGATGATCGCCAGACTGAAGTGCCTTGGTGAATATATCAGCAGTGTTGGCCCGACTGGCCACGTAAGCAAGACGAAGTTGACCACGCTGCTCCAACTCTCGAGCAAGGAAGTACCGCAGAGCACTGTGCTTCGTTCTGTGCTCCAGTCTGTGCTCCTGACACAAGGCAATCATGGCCTTGTTGTCTACGTACAGCACTGGAGAAGAACAAGGCCGCTCTCCCAAGTCGGTCTGCAGATAGGTGAGCCAGCATAACTCCAGTGCAGCCATGGCCCCTGCGTAGATCTCAGCCTCACAACTGGAACTGAGAACAGAAGACGAGCGGGTAGACCGCCAAGAAACAGAGCCGGAGCCAAGGCTGAAAGTGTAACCCTGTGACGACCGCTGCGCAGCCAATCGTCAACTCAATAAGCATTTGCGTGTCCAGTGAGGACAACTGGACCCCGTCCTCCAAGCACGAGCCCCATGCCCGACGTACTGCACAAGTAGCGCAACACCCTCTTAGCGGCCTCCTAGTGCTCTGGTCGGTGTCTCCCGGGCGCAACGTAGCGTGCCAGGATGCTAAGAGGGTAGGGAAGGTCAGGTCGAGTGCAGGTCATCAGGTACATGAGGTAGCCCACAAGCTTTGGATACGGGCCACTCGGCTCTACGGACTCGTCCGAAGGTGGAGCTGAGAGCGAGTGACCGGTAGGTAGAGAGGTGGACTGTGGCGAGGAGAAGTGGAAGCCGAAGCGCTGAAGGACCTGGTGCACCATGTGTGACTGAGTCAGGGTGATGGTGCACCATGCCTCGTCCCGGGTGATCCGCAAGCCAAGATAACTGTGCAGCTCACCCAGGTCAGTGCAAGTGTGTCTCTTCTGCAGCCCCGACTTCACAAGGGCCAGTGCCTCAGTGTCAGCAGTGGCAAAGACCAAGTCATCGACGTACACGAGGACGTAGAACGGCGGCAGCGAAGTGTCGGTGCGTAGAAACAGCGACGGGTCAGCAGTTGAAGGTGTCAGAATATGTTGTATTTGTCTAGCCTGCAGTGGGGTACTCAATAGTGAGTACAGCCCAATCTAGGGTTTCCTATATGTACTCAACTGCTTGACTGGCGACGGGAGGGGCGACAGAAGGGGGCCGCGCATCGGCCCCTCCCGTCTTCGTCGCGGCCCTGCCCGGCCCTGCCGCCCTGTCCCGGCCCTGCCCTGCCCGGCCCTGCCGCCCTGTCCCGGCCCTGCCCTGCCCGGCTCTGCCCTGCTGCCGCTCCTGCTGCGGCCCTACCCTGTGTTGGGGTTTGGGGGTGGCGAGTACGGGGGTGAAGGATGTGTGCGGTCTCCCCTGCTCCTCCTCCTCCTCCGTCTCCCACTGCTGCAGCTGCCGCTGAGGGGGGTGGGTGTGTGGGAGACGATGGAGTGGTACTAAGGGGGTGGCGAGTAAGCAGTGCTAGAGGTGCCGCAGGGGGTGTCTGAAAGGGGGGTGGGACAGTTTGGGGAGGTTGGACGGAGGTAGCCGTCGTGTCGCCAGCAGCGCCAGTAGTCCGGAGGCTACAATCTCCGGTAGCCCAGCGAGCCTGCTGCGCCAGTCGCCCGTGGGTCCGTTGCTCCTGCCGCTCAGAGTTAGCCTCGGAGCCAGTTACTCCAGTAGTCCGGAGGCTACAATCTCCGGTAGCCACAGTGCGCGCCGCTCCTGTTTCCCGTGTGTCTGCAGCTTCACCCGTCTCCTCCTACCTCCTCTCCTCTCATAGTCACTCCTCCTCCTCACTTGCCCTCTGTGATAGTTTCTAGCTTTGCTTATATTTGTGAACTATTGCTCTGCCTGTGAACTGGCCTTGTGGCGTTGTACTTGTGCTCAGAATGTGTGGTGACATTGTGATCCACCCTGAGCTTGTTTTTGCTTTACTTGCTTGTGCTGATTACACCCCACTTTGGCTATGGGGGTGTGTCAGAATATGTTGTATTTGTCTAGCCTGTAGTGGGGTACTCAATAGTGAGTACAGCCCAGTCTAGGGTTTCCTATATGTACTCAACTGCTTGCTAGTAAAAAACCTCCTCTTTCTCGTTTCTAACTTTCAACTGCTGATTTTCACAGAAGGCGCAAACCCAAGAGCCGCAAGTGTCGTCCTCAGTGTATCGTGCCACTCGTGAAGCGCCTGACGGAGACCGTAGACTGGCCGCCAGAGGCTCCAATGGGTACCAGGAGGAAACGACCCAGTGAAGCCAGGTGGGCGGTGCAGCCAAGATCTCCTCGTGCAGGCTGCCCTGTAAGAAATCTGTGCTAAAATCAAGAGAGTGAAGCTCGTAGTCACGCTGAGTGGCAACGTGCAGCAGAACCCGAAGAGTGGTCATATTTGGGGTAGGGGAGAAGGTCTGGAAGAAGTCAACTCCCTGTCGCTGACTGAAGCCTCGTGCAACGTAACGAGCCTTGAAGACAGGCGCAGAGCCCGGCGGTCGCTTCACCCTGAAAATCCACATGCCATCGACTATGTTCGCCCCAGAAGGGGGAACTGCATCGACGTAGGTGCTTGTAGACTTCCAGAATGCCATCTCTGCATCCATGGCTGTCTGCCACTGAGAGGAGTAGGGACCCGTAATCGCCTCTGCGTAAGAGCGCGGGTCGGGATGTCTGGTGCATCCGGGTCTCCCTCAGGTGCAAGTAGCATGGCCACAAGATGAGGTACAGCAGCTGCAAGACACTCAAAGTCCTCCTGCCTGTCCTTAAGGACGTCCGTGCCAAGAGCACACTCACCCCCGACGGACGGAGGAGAGTCAGACTCAGACTCAGCAACAAGACTAGTGGCGTAGTCGAGACGATAGGCGGCAGCAAAGTCAACAAGCTCAGCAACTAGGGCAGACGCAGTAGTGGACTCAAACGAAGGGTCAGTGACAAGAGTGGCGAGAAGACGAGGGTCATTCGAACTGGCAGCACGAGCTAAGTCAGACTCAGTGTCAGGAACGGCAGGAAGAGAGGACTCAGGAGGAGGCGGCAGAGGAACTCGTAGTGGAACAGAGGAAGGACGAAGTACCATAACGTGAGTGCCAGGGACAGGAGGAGGACTCGGACGAGGAACACGACGACCTGTGCAAACAGCGCGAATAGGCGAGGGAGGACGAGACTCAGGCTCACGATGCTCTGTAAAAGAGTCTGTCTGCTCAGCGTAAGGTGAAGGAGCAGGTAGTGGGGAGTCTGGCTGAAACTATGGCTGCGACTGGCGAGGCGGTGGACTCAGTAAGATAGGAGGAAGGCCAGTAGAAGATGAGAGACTAAGAACCTGGCGAACGAACGAGTTAGGTGGCGATAGAGACGACGGTGGCGGCGGTACGAAAAACGGGCGCCGCTGCACAGTGCCTCCAGCACCAGTACCGCCAGACGCAGCACCTCCAGCGCCAGCACCTCCAGCTCTAGGCTCAACAGCTCCAGCGTCTCCAGCTCCAGCGCCTCTAGCGCCAGGGTCTCCAGCTCCAGCTCCTCCATCTCCAGCGCCGCCAGCGCTAGTGCCTCCAGCTCCAGTGCCTCCAGCTCCAGCGCCTCCAACGCCTGGGTCTCCATCTCCAACTCCTCCAGCTCTAGCGCAGTCAGCG